AACAATCCTCTCTTCCAACAGAAGAAGTGTCTTCTTTCATGAGGTCTACTCAACACATGTTTCGGCTTTTTTCTTGTTTATACGTCTAGTGTTTTAATCTTGCCTGGGGGATGGGAGAATGCTGCCATCTCGCCACCCTCCATGCATGAGTTGGTTAACTATACTAGACCCTACTAATCTACACACATTTATTAATATGCTAATAGACATACAATTTATTAACAAAGGGCGAGGGATTTTTTTGCAGCTTGCGGTTTAAATGTTGATTTATATATATATATATATATATATATATATATATATATAATGGATATAAATAAAAGCACAACTTAAAAGATAGTTAGAAATGCACTGTATTTGTGTTCAAGCAGGGACACTCACACAGATGCATACAATGGGGAAACAAACATGTTTATTCAGCTGCTACAAGTTCATACTCTGTGGAAACCCCTTTTGCTGCAGCACATATTTTAGATTATGTCTCTGTACGCTTTGCATGTCCAGAGAATGATTTTTTTTTTTTCAATTCTTCTTCTGCAGAACAGCTCAAGCTCTGTCACACTCCCATTAAATGAATATAGTTTGTTTTATTGTATGAAAAGGCTTCTAAGGAAGTTGTTTTGATGGCAGGTTAACATCTGCCAGTGTTTTTCTGACGGAACAGCTTTCCTTCCCAGACTCTCCTGTATTTTGCTCCTTATCTTCCCATCAACTCTGACATCCTGTGTAGGTCTGCTGGTGCACCATATCTTTGCAATCCTGGATACTGGAGGAAACGGTGTGTGTGTGAGAATGATTGGTGGTTCTATCAGTTGGCACCGGGGCAACTGTGGCTACAATAGTAGTTTCTCACCATTGTGTATGAAGTGAGAGTGAAGTGTTCAAAAGGTTTTAGACACACTAAATATATTATTATCTTTGTCAATGATTCAGCGTAAACTCTTAAAGTGTATGTATATTATATGGCCTTTAGGATCTATACAGAGGCTGTGCAATCATCTATGTATAAACACCCAATATGACCTGAAATATTATAACTTTTGAGTCATAATATAAAACTTAAAGTCAAGCAACTGGAAGAAATTTGCCTCTGGAGACTCAACTGACATTGCAACAACTCACTGCTCTTCAAGCTTCAAAATCATAGTTTTGTGCTTAAATGCTACTAAGACTTTGCTCTAACCTTGAGCGGCCGGTTTCTGTATCCCCCTCTGAGTACACATCATAGAAACAAAGCTACGCAGGCTGCAGCCAAAACAGTCTGTAAATAGGAAAATTAGTGAGATGAGCTTTTGCCGTGCGATCCAAGCGGGAATTACACCTATTGTGTTCTGTTTAGCTGCAACATTTTGAGGATGAGGACTCTCTGGAGACAAGCAGCTTTTGTGTTAAAAGAACAGTGCATTTGTTTGCAATTGGAGCACATTTTAGTCGGTATGTCACATGTTTTTGGTATTGCCTACGGAGATGGATCGAGTAGCCAGAGATTGTACTCAAGGTAGAGATGGGAAAGCTCAGAATAAATGTATCTCGGTAAATGTCTTCCTTGTGTAAAAGTAAGTTGTTAAATGTACTAAAAAAAAAAGTTAAATATGTTTTGCTCAACAACCTATATTATTGGTGTTTGCCATCTCTGCTCCCACTCTCTGGAACTCTCTCCCCCCTCACCTCAGAACCTCGGACTCACTAAACTCCTGTTAGGATTAGATAACGATATGGTCTGAAATTAGGCCATAAATGAGGCTTTGTCGTACAAAGATCCCGTTTTGCCTGAGTCTGATTTCTATCACATCTTCAAAAAACAGTTAAAATCTCACCTCTACCTCCAAGCGCACGACTCTTATTTTCAGCATTGCAAGGAAGTAGGTAGTCTTTACATACATACCGCCGTTCACAGACCAGAGTCACAAAGCGGTTTACAATTGTGGGCCTTTGTCCTCTCACTCCACACAGAGATGAGATGTGTAAGTGTACATGTTTTTAGTGGTAGGGGAAACCGGAGTACCCAGAGGAAACCCCCCCGGTCCTAGGGTTCCGACCGGGATTCAAACCCAGGACTTTCTTGCTGAGAAGCGAGAGAGCTATCCACTCAGCCGCCGTGCCGCCCAATAGTCCAACAGCTCCACAGTGACCCAAAAACAGCTGATTCTCGCACAGCACTCTTCTTTTCTGCTTTAGATTATTAGTTTTGTGTGTCTGTCTGAATGTTTATGTGTGTGTCCTTAATTGTGAAGCGTCTTTTAGTTTTTGAAAAGTGACATACAAAACCAATGTAGTATTACTATTGTTATTGATATTATAAGAGGTAAAGTTAGTTTTACCAGTGAGGTAAGTGATGCGACAACATGAATGCAAAAATACAGTTTGATACAAGTGTTTAAGGGGTGTTTATCTGTCAATAAACGGAAAAGCATTTGCCACTTCCACAAACTTTCAGTGCAGCCAGCCTGAGTCCTGGATTTATAGCCTGTCTATTTGTGGGAGCGGATGCCTCTCTCAATGTGGGCCTCCCCAGGATTTCTCACGTTTTGTTTTTCCTCGCCGCTGCCTGAGGATCCGCCTGCATTTCCTGTCTTCAAACTGTTTGATTCAGTGATCTGTTGTTGATGTTGGTTTGTAAAGTCATCCCGAGACGACTGCTGTTATGATTTAGGGCTATATACAATAATACAATCAATTGAGCCTTCCATCTTGAATCTATTTTGTTAGTGTGAAACTCCAGACAGTTTAAAATTCAGAACAAGAACCCTGATTATTAGTGGAATTCTCCATTGACTTATTATGTGCAATAGAGTTTTTTATTATGGTGGAAAAAAATATCCTAAAGCATTGACTTGGCTTTTTCTTTCAGAGTTTCATTTTTATCCCAGTGAAGCTGCTCTCGTGGCATGAAAAGAGCCTTAATTAAACTCATTATACTGCAAATGCCTTTATAAACTCTATTTTAAGCGCCTGGGTGAGAACTGTCGGCCCATTCACTGTTTGGAAGCAATTTGTGTTGTCAATCATGTCTGGAGTGGCCTGGATTTATATGGTCTGTACAGCTGCTGCCATCAGCGGAAACCAACAGAGGCTTATAGAGACAAAAACACATAAATACACAAAACATGCTGACGCTGGAGGAAAAAATTGGAATTATTGATCATCGTGCAAATATGTGGATGTCGTTCTTAGAAAATTATATATTATTATTGTGTTTTAGGTATGCAATCCAGGCAATGGGAAATGTATTTCACGTACTACATGTGCATGGGTTGCTTCTATTCAATTCATTAAAATGTTCTTTTGTGTAGCCCTAAATCACAACAGTGATTGGTCCATATTTCGGCTTCACATATTTTGAGTGTCCTAACTGTTTGAGCCATCTGTCTCTTGGACATATACAGGAATCTATTTGGAATCAATATTGGGAAGAGCGAAAACACATTATAATAAAATGTAGTCATCAGCCAAGTTTGGGGCTCATTCAAAAAAACTAAAAAGAAAATAAGATCAAACAAATGAATACATGTTTTTATTGTTTATATCCGTTGCCAGGTCACTGGGGCAGCTGTCTGAGCAGAGACGCCCACTTCCCTATCCACACACACTAGCTCCAGCTCACATGTTCCCAGTCCATAGTCCCTCCAACGTGGCTCTTCCCTTGAGTCACAGGGATAGATGGTCTTTACTAGATTAATTGTTTTACAGTTTTACTTACAGTTTATTTTGAAATTATAGAAAAGTGGGACTTGTTCGCACCCATTTACATTTATGTATACATATTTCATTCACACTAAAGACATGAATGTAATCTGCAATCCAAGTTGTTTATAAAATGTTATCAAATAGCATGATCAAAAGCCAAAGAGAGAAAGCTAGAGAGGGTTTAAAAACAATGTAATGTTATGACTGTGATTTCCATATACGCTTACATAATTAGGCCCAATTTACTTCATAGTGTTGCAACCAAATGCGTGACTGTCACTGAGACATTGTTGCATCATAGTGAGAAATTCAAGCAAGAACCAGAATGTGTCTCTTTTCCCCCCCAAAGAATTTGCCGGCTACAACTAATTACTTCAATCTTTTTGTGCTTCCTCTGAAATATAAACACAAGTTGTAGGCTGCTGTTCAAATTAATAAATGTTCAGTTACAAAGATTTACCAATAGGAGGAGCCGGAGTCATATACCCATTTTTTGATACTTGATATCCTTGGACTTTTTACATTAGAGTAACATTTCTTATAAATTATATGTTATATTACTCAGACCATTAGAATAACGTTGTCGTATAGCTCCATAGTGACCCACAAATAGTGGATTCTCACACGGCAATCTTGACATTATAAGCATACATTATAACTTTTGTTCTACTTTACGTTATAAATACATACTTAAAAAAAGGCTATTCGTCAAAACATGAATTAGTTTGAATGTCCGTAGTAATAATAACAATTAGAAAGTTGTTGTTGTGTCAATGGGAGGAGTAGGGGAACTAGGAACCTCATACCAACAGCGCTTGTAACGCCCGTGAAGTGTAGCAGGTGCCACACTCAAATATAACCGGGTTCAATGTTATTGTTTTACTCGTGGGAGTCATGGATGTATTATCGTTTCATTATAATGTTGCTTGATAGATCCATAGATTACATACATTTAAATAAGAACATAATTTGCGTTTTTTTCAAGAAGATAATCCCACGATAGTTTTACTTGGTGTTTTTCGCTTTTCGTGTTGACATAGTTCATAGTTGGCTTGTTGACAACCCACTTATAAATACCGTCTATGGTAATCCCACGAGACCTAAGAGAAGACATGAATTGTTTATATGTGTTTACTGGAGTCCTTAAACAAATGAAAATAAGACATATATCTTCACGTGGTTGTCACACTAAGGAGTTCCTCAGAAGATTTATTTTAGAAAACACAGAAGTTGTCCGTGGCCAGTCTCTGACACCCGAGATCTGCCTCCGGCTATTCACACCAAAATGTAGATTCTGGACAGAGAAGCCTGAAATGTGGCCTTTCAATGATCCATTTTGGGCGATTTACTGGCCAGGAGGGCAAGCTATTTCTAGGTCAGCCATAAACCTGTCTTTAAACGCGATTACTCGTGTTGTTTTTGGTTAATGGATAGATTATTAACTTCATTATCCAACAGATACCTAATGGATAATCCAGATGTGTGTAGAGGCAGATCAGTGCTGGATCTGGGAAGTGGATGTGGAGCTTCAGCGATTATGGCCAAAAGGTGTGGAGCTGAGCACGTGACTGCCAATGATATTGATACAGGTATGAGTTGATTAATGTGTCAATCAGGTTCTCTCAATAAAGGATACAAATATGTTTAATATATTTCAGTAATTCATTCTATTCAATAACACTTTTGATTAATTGAGTGATATTTGAACTGTGTCAACTTTGTATGTATATATAAAGTTATATTTGATATATAAATAATCAAATTAACCTCCATTATGATTTGAATATTTTTATTATCTGTGTACAGGGAAGTAATCAATGATCAAATGATGATTACATCACACTGAGACATTCCAATAAAAAGAATCACCATGGATGCAGACCCATCAAAATAGCCCAATTCAAAATAATTATACATACTGATAATAAGTGACTAACAAAAAGTCAATAATGAGTAATAATAGAAGGTCAACTATCTACCATCAGCTCCAGAAGTAAGCAGAAGTTAGGCTAATTAGATATATTATACAAGGCAAGACAGACGTCCATGCGTACGCCTTTGAATTTCTATTCTATTTATTTAACAGCCATTTGTGCTTCCAAAATTCACACTGTTCTTGAAATGTCCTCACTGTAGGACGGAAGGGGGTTATCTTATCAAGCACCTGTACTGACAAATATTTACTTAACTCTAAATACAACTGAAGGATTGTGTCTTCACTCTTTTTGATGTACTGTAATATTGCCTTGTATGATTGTGCGATCATTTACTTAAAAAACTAAAGTACTAAGTTATTTTGCCCACTGTATCAACCTGATACTGCTATTTATCTTAAAGTTGAATTCATTCAATTTTCATTGTAATCTCTGAATGTTGGCCATTCAGAGTTGGCAATAAAGAATCTAATCATATTATGTCTGCTAATGGATAAAGGAGCAGACAACCTTGCATGTCCTGTGAAGCTTCCTCAATGAATGTGTTTTAATACTTTATGTTGAACACATGGATACAGGCATCAGACTTGGACAATGCAGGCGACCTGTCCATTATATTCTTGCAGAAGTTTCTTTTATAAACTTTTACAAACACCAGGGCGGGGTTGCAGAAATATTTTAACTAATGTGAACCAGCTCGAATTGCCCCCATCTTCAGCACTTGTCATCTAGTGGCACGCAGCCGACTGATTGATGTGCTCATCTTTCTCCGCTTCGACGTCTGCAGCCGCCATATGATCTTTTTGTGAATTCCAGGGTGTCCCTTTAGCTCTCTGCCCAGACTTTTGGGTTCTTGCACAAAAATTACATTCTTACAGTGTTCTTATTATTATTGTCTTCAGTTGCAGGAGTTGTGACCATCATGAATTCAGAGCTGAACAAGTTGGAGCCTCCCGTCTGTTCGGCTGACAACATGATAAGTTCAGAGCCCAAGCCCTTTGACCTGATCCTTCTGGGCGATATGTTTTACGACGAGACTCTGGCCACTACGCTTCACGGCTGGTTGGATCGCTGCATTCAAACTCATAATACTACGGTGCTCATTGGAGACCCAGGGAGGGCGGCGTTTGAGGGGCACAACTTTCACCGGGACCTGCATCACCTGGCCCAATATGAACTGCCACAATCGGTGAGAGAGGAGAACTACGGTCTCGTCCACAGCAGTGTTTGGAGCTACAGACCCAGACTTCAAGGAAAACAATGAACACGCATTTTCTTTTCCCACACAACTAATAATAACAAAGATTTCTGCACAGCTACATTCAAGGCCATCACCAGCTCAGGCCTTGTAGAAACTAGCTCTATGCTTTACTGAAACTTGATTAGATACTGTTGTATCTTCTTTCCCGTATTGAATGGAAACAAATGTTATTAATTCCAAACTAACTGTCCCTAGGTCAGCTAGGTGCTCTGTAAAGTCGCCCCTGCCCCTGGCTCAGACTGACTAGCACAGCATAGATTGATCATATATAGTAAATGTGCAAAGGGGTGTGGCGTATCAGGAGAGGTCATCTTGCGGCCCATACATAAAGACAGAAAGACCAAGTCCTGGTCTGGTCTTAAACTTTGGTCCAGCAGTGCAGGCGGTCAGCTTCCTTATTTCACCGCCACATCTCATCACTTTCTGAAAAACACTTTGGAAAGAAGAACTACATTCCACCCTGTCTGCAGTCTTCAGATTGACATTGGTTGTTGTTAGTTTCTGTTACTTGATAGCCGGCAGCTGATATTAAAAGTGATTACATTTATTCACCTTGGTTTTCTGTGTCAGCGTGTGCGTGTACTCAACAGTTTTAAAGAAACATAACCAGAAGTCATTCAGGCATAGTGCTTTCAGCCCGGTGTAACAGGCCGTTATATACCCCCTGGCCAGTTAATACCCCGGGGTTAAAATAGCCTAGGGCCGAGCGAAAGTGGCGCGAAAGTCCAACCTCCAGGTTGATTACAAGATATTCAAGGATAAGTTGTGCGAGTTTAACCGGGTGCTACGAGAGAAAGGTATTTTTCTGAAATGATTGAAGGCTGCAGTAACAACCTGCGTGTTCTGTTTTCAACAGTTAATAGATTAACAAACCCCCCTGTTCAGATGCCATTAGAGCTAACTTCCAAACGTAAATGCAATGAGTTTGCACACTTTTTCAATTACAAGGTTCAAGGCATCAAAAACGCCATTTTCTCCAATCCACAGATAACAATCCAACAGCCTGAAAGGCTCTTTGAGATAACTTACTTTGCACCTGTAGATGATAAAAATGTCAAAGAGATAATCTCCAGTTTGAGCTCCTCCACATGCAGCCTGGATGTACTACCCACTAGATTTCTGAAGTCTGTTCTGAGTAGTCTGTTACCTTCACTCACACAGATAGTAAACATGTCCCTTCGTTCTGGAATATTCCCAAAGGCCCTGAAAACGGCAGTCATCAGGCCCCTGCTAAAAAAGAGCAGTCTGGATGCCACTGTACATAACAACTATCGTCCCATCTCAAATCTGCCATTTATAGGGAAAGTCCTTGAAAAAGTTGTCTACCTACAGCTTACTAGATTTCTTATAATCAACAACTCATTTGATATGTTTCAGTCCGGCTTTAGACCCTACCACAGCACTGAGACTGCTCTCGTCAAGGTTACAAACGATATACGGCTGAACACTGACGCAGGCCAAGTCTCAGTCTTAATCTTGTTAGATCTAAGTGCTGCCTTTGACACTGTCGACCATGAGATCCTCTTACAGAGACTAGAGGACTGGGTTGGCGTCGCTGGCACCGCCCTAAGTTGGTTTAGGTCTTACCTTGAAGACAGGAAGTACTTTGTGGAGATTGGAAACTGTGTCTCAGATCATATGGCCCTGACCGGTGGAGTCCCACAGGGGTCGATCCTGGGACCTCTTCTGTTCAATCTCTACATGCTGCCGTTAGGTCAGTTAATACGCAGAAACGAAGTGTCCTATCATAACTATGCAGACGACACTCAGATCTATGTCTCACTGACTGCAGGAGAACATGGACCAGTGGACTCACTCCTTCACTGCAAAACAACTTCCTTCAGCTAAACGCAGACAAAACTGAAATGATTGTCTTTGGTCCCCAGAAACAAAGAGAGAGCGTCATCTGTCATCTCCAGTCTTTCTCCCTAAAACCTTCAAACAAGGTCAGAAATCTAGGGGTAATACTGGACTCAGACTTAAATTTTAATAGCCACATCAAATCAGTAACATCAGCAGCTTTTTACCATCTAAAAAACATTGTCAGGATCAAAAACATAGTGTCTAAAGCAGACTTGGAGATTCTTATCCATGCATTTGTCTCCAGTAGGTTAGACTACTGCAATGGCCTGCTCACAGGTCTGTCCAAACGGCTGTAAAACAGCTGCAGTACATTCAAAATGCAGCAGCTCGAGTCCTGACTAGAACCAGGAAGTAAGACCACATTAGTCCGGTCCTCAGGTCTCTGCACTGGCTTCTTGTGGCTCAGAGAATAGACTTGAAAACAGCTCTGCTTGTTACAAGTCTCTCCATGGCCTCGCACCAAAATATATTAGTGACATGTTAGTCCCATATGAACCAGCCCGGACTCTGAGGAGCACAGGGACTGGACTCCTGTTAGTGCCCAGAGTCAGAACTAAACATGGGGAGGCTGCTTTTCAGATTCATGCTGCTAAAATCTGGAACAATCTTCCTGAAGATGTGAGACAGGCCTCCTCTCTGACAATGTTTAAAACCAGGTTAAAAACAGTTCTGTTTAGCTGTGCATACAACTGAGGGATTTTATATTTTTATCTTCCTTTTTAATGTTCTGTGATTATTTATGATTTTAATGCTTTCTTGTTTTGTTCAGCACTTTGAGTTGCCTTGTGTATGAATTGTGCTCTACAAATAAACTTGCCTTGCCTTGCCTTGCCTAGGACAGAATATACCCCAGCTTTTCACACTTTGTTTGTGAGGTGATGAGTCTATGTATCTACTTACTTCTCACATGACATGCTTTCACACCGGATCATGCTGCGTCAACTTTCAATGCAAAGTCAATGGTGACATGTGCATCTCGGGATGCACGCACGGACTGCGCGGTAAAGACGCATGGACTGTGCTGCAAAGGCGACAGGAGCGGAAAATTGACGCACGCAAGAGATAAATATTGCTGAGCGTTTCCTCGGGACGCTTGCGCAGCGACCAATCAGAGAGCCGCAAAGTGGTCACGGGGACATTAGCGGTCTGAGCGAGCAGACTGAACATACTGTAAACAGCCAAAACAGGAGCTACACCAGGACTTAACCAGGACTAAACCAGGACTAAAACCAGGGTTGACAATGGAGGACATAGGGCTTGTGAACATAAGGTGTTTTCATGCTCCCGTGACTTTATGCAACTGCTTCGAGCGTGTTCGTCGAAGCGGAAGTACCGTTTGATAATAAAATAAACGTATGGCACACCTCCGTGAACACATACTACTGTTATATAAAGTCGGTGGAAGGTCTCTGAACACAGACACCCTGCAAAGCTGTATTATAGGAGAAGAACTTTGCACAAAAAGCAGCTAGCTCAACTCTGTTAGCTTTAAAGTCCGCCCGCTTCTTCCGCCACTGGCCAGGACTTCAGAAAATTAGAGAATGGTGCGCGAGACGTCAGCGTTCCAGCGTCAGCGGTGTGAAAGCACCATTTGAACTTTTGAGTAGATATTAATTATGGCCAAATGACACTGATGCTCTGGAGCTTGTGTCGCTCTTTCCGTAGCAAATTGCTTCGAAACACTGCATTGGAGCAAAACAACCGGTCACGTGACAAACGCGTCAGTGTCTCGGACTCTGCAGCCGCTGCTTCACTGCTTCACTGCCTGACTTCTCATTGAATCATGGAAGAGTTACATCTTGCTTCCTTGGTGTGACTGCTGATGACTGTTGATACGGCAACTGTTTTTGAATAAAAAACCTGTGATGTACGCATAAAGTGCAGTCCTTTTTTTCTGTAAATTGTTTATATACTTTAATATACTTGTATTCAATATAAGGATTCCTTAAAAAATGGGCATATTGCTGTTTGGTTCTGTAAAGTACAGTACGAGATTGTTATAGTTTTATCATTGTTATAGTTTATTTCATAAGTCATATCTCTTCCGAAATGTATTTAGTACAAAATAAATAATATATTGCTCTTTTTATTTTATTGTTATTATATCAAATGAAAGGGGGGGTTAATCTGGCCTATGGGGGGGTTAAACTAGCCTAGGCCAGTTTATACCCCGGGGTATCATCTGGCCTGGGCTACTTTATACCCGGGTGTATTCTGGCGAGGGGTTAAACTGGCCAGCTATACCTGGTCAGCTCGGAGAATGAGGATGGCAAAATGACTAAGAATACATTAAGCACAAGGTCTTATGGATGGGTTAAGACACCGGATGTCAGCGTAAACACATATGTCATTCAATAATCTTATAAACTAGTCCTGGTTCTGTATCTTGAGTCTGTCTTCCTCGAGGGTCTTACTACAGGCCCTCATTGTCCTTTCAGACCTCCAAAGCCTCAAGAGAAGGGTCAGTAGAGTCAGTAGTTGGCTGAAAAGTAACAAATACATTTAAATTGGTATAAAAGTAATACATCAGACATTATATACATTTTCTCACATTCTGCCCTCTGCGGGCGGTTATCCCTCTCTAAGCTCGGGTCCTCTACCAGAGGCCTGGGAGCTTGAGGGTTCTGCGCAGAATCTTTGCTGTTCCTAGCACTGCACATTTCTGGACCGAGATGTCCGAGGTTGTTCCAGGGATCCGCTGTAACCACTCCTCTAGCTTCGGGGTCACTGCCCCGAGTGCACCGATCACCACGGGCACTACTGTCACCTTTAATAAGTAAGTAAGTAATCTTTATTTGTATAGCACCTTTCACAGGCAAAGGCCACAAAGTGCTTCACAACACAGTAAAACATCACAAAATTAAATACAATATAAAAAGGGTCAAAACAACACAGAAATCGTATCAGCCCAAAAATAGCTAATTAAAGGCTTGAACAAATAAATGAGTCTTAAGATTGCTTTTAAAAGTATCAACCGAGTCAGTAGAGCGCAAAGAGGGCAGAAGATCGTTCCAAAGCCTGGGAGCAACAGCCTGGAAGGATCGGTCACCTCTTGTACGAAAACAAGTGCGTGGAACCTTTAGCAGATTTTGATCCACAGACCTCAGAGCCCGAGCAGGGGTGTGAGGCTGGATCAGAAA